CACTTCTGTTTCTGGACTAAAGAGGCGTTCACCAGGTATACCCGGGACCACTATAAAGCTTGACTTCCAGGTTATTAGCTTCATTAGTAGCTGTTGTAGGGCAGCTTTTAAGCACTACAAGCTCGGACTTTTGGTATAAGTACAGGTTATGACAACAATTGTAACAGGTCTTGCGAGTCTGAGCTATTGTAAGGTCTCTACAAACCCATACTAGGTGGCATTTCAGACTATTGTAAGGCCTTTACAAACACAAACTAGATGACATATCTGAACGTTATGAGGCCCTTACAAACTGATACTAGAGAGTGTACTAGAATTCAATAAACAGTATAATAAGGCATTGTAGGAGGCTTACTGAACATTACTATACAACATGCTAGGAGTCAATATCTCACTTTGTAGGCTACTGTAAGGCCCTTACCAACTGATACTAGGTGGTGTACTAGACTATTGTAAGCATCATATAAACTGACACTAGGTGACATATCTAACTATCGTAAGGCCCTTATAAACTTGCATACTAGGGCATTTACTAGAGATTACTAGACACTATTGTAGGTTACTGGTGATTCTTACAAAGTGACATCAGGTGACATGTTCAGACTATTGTAAGCTCATTACAAACCGATACTAAAGAATATATTAGGACTCAGTGTAATAGGCTATTGTTGACTTGCTGAGTGCTACTAGACAATATACTAAGAGTCAGTAGGCGACTTTGTAGACTGTTATCAATGTATAGTGGGACATTGTAGGACACTTACTACACATTATTAGATGGCATACTAGGAGTTAGTAGATAATATAATAACAATTTTTTGCATACATTTTTTGTAGTGATTCTTGTAGGTACATTAGTAACAGTTTCTAGTGTCATTTTTTATAGTGATTCTTATAGGCACGTTAGTAACATTTTTTGTAGTGATTCTTATAAACACATTTGTTACAGTTTCTAGTGTCATTTTTTGTAGTGATTCTTATAGGCACGTTGGTAACATTTTTTGTAGTGATTCCTGTAGGCACGTTAGTAACAGTTTCTGGTGTTATTTTTTGTAGTGGTTCTTATAGGCACATTGATAACATTTTTTGTAGTGATTCTTATAGGCACATTGGTAGCATTTTTTGTAGTGATTCTTGTAGGAACATTTGTAACAGTTTCTAGGGTCATTTTTTGTAGTGATTCTTATAGGTAACAATTTTGTAGTGATTCTTGTAGGCACATTTGTAACAGTTTCTAGTGTCATTTTTTGTAGTGATTCTTATAGGCACATTGATAACATTTTTTGTAGTGATTCTTGTAGGAACATTTTTTGTAGTGATTCTTATAGGTAACAATTTTGTAGTGATTCTTGTAGGAACATCTGTAACAGTTTCTAGGGTCATTTTTTGTAGTGATTCTTATAGGCACATTGATAACATTTTTTGTAGTGATTCTTGTAGGCTGTTATATATGATACTATATCATTTAGTAGATATGATTAGATATATCATCATGCACTATAAGGTTCTTAAAAATGTATACTAATTACACTTCTATAATCTTATATAGTCATTACACACATATACTAGCTAACCTTTTTAGCCCTCAATGTCCCATCACTGGTAAGAATGATTCTCTTCATTTTTCAAGAATTGTAACTTCAACAGCTCCTGACTTTCCCCATTTGGGCAAGTGTATTTTGAGGTCAGAAATATTTTTAAAAGGCAGAAAAAGGCGGAAAATTTAGAAACATGACCTAGGTAACCATGGGTACCTTAGGTAAGTCAGTTTCCAAATTAGGAAACTGACTAAGCAGGCCTTCATGTTGTTCACCTCAGTATTGCAAAATTGGGTTGTTACTCAAATCTTAATGAAATTGAATGTTCTAAAGCGCTAACTAGGGCTATTTTTTGGTTTCAATTCAATGGTGATGGTTACAATGCATTGAACTTAGTATAACCCTCTATAGAACATAATTTCAATGTTCTCTAAGATAGAGCTGTTATCTGTTATCTAATCTAAGTGCTGCAGCCATGCATCTGTTGATGGTTATTTATACAAGTCGCGCCGATTTTCATTACAACTGTTTTAAACATCCACCTATAGTCAACTTGTAGTTGGACAAGAAGAGCCATTAGAATGTTTGTAGCTAAGTTCTACCTCCAGAATTTTCCCACAGTTAAAAGAAAAGTGCGTCACGGTTCACCTCAGCCTCCAAAGACCCACCGCTTATAAGAACGATTCTCTTCGTTCCTCAGGAATTGTAACTACACAAATGAGACTAGAAACTGTTACAAATGTGCTTATAAGAATCACTACAAAAAATGTGACTGGAAACTATTACAAATGTGCTTATAAGAATCACTACAAAAAATGTTACCAACGTGCCTATAAGAATCACTACAAAAAATAACACTAGAAACTGTTACAAATGTGCCTATAAGAATCGTTACAAAAAATGACACTAGAAACTGTTACAAATGTGCCTATAAGAATCATTACAAAAAATGACACTAAAAACTGTTACAAATGTACCTACAGCATTGTAATAAAATGTATGTAAGAAATTATATTTATTACTGACTCCTAGTATGCCATCTAATAATATGTAGTAAGTGTTCTACAATGTCTCACTGTACTAAGTTGTGTCAGTTGATAAGGGCCTTACAATAGTTTACGAAGTTGCTTACTGACTCTTAGTATATTGTTGAGTAATATTCAGCAAGTCAACAATAGCCTATTATACTGGCTTCTAATATACTGTATCACCTGATGTCACTTGTAAGAATCTCCAGTAACCTCACTAACCTGCAGTAGTGTGTAGAAATATCTGGTAAATGTCCTAGTATGCGACTTTGTAAGGGCCTTACAATAGTTAGATATGTCACCTAGTGTCAGTTTATAATATGCTTACAATTGTCTAGTATACGACCCGATTCACGAGGGCTTTACAGTAAAGTGATATATTGACTCCTAGCATGTTGTATAGTAATGTTTAGGAAGCCTCCTATAATGCCTTATTACACTGTTTATTGAATTCAAGTACACCCTCTAGTATCAGTTTGTAAGGATGTCATAATATTCTGATATGCCATCTAGTTTGTGTTATAAAGGCCTTACAATAGTTTAAAATGTCACCTAGTATGGGTTTGTAGAGACCTTACAGTAGCTCAGACTTGCAAGATGTGTTACAATTGTTGTCATAACCTGTACTTATACCAAAAGTCCGAGCTTGTAGTGCTTAAAAGCTGCCCTACAACAGTTACTAATGAAGCTAATGACCCGGAAGCCAAACTCTATAGTGGTCCCGGGTATACCTGGTGAATGGCTCTTTAGTCCAGAAACAGAAGTGCTGACTTTGAACAGTTTTTCGCATTTAGGAATTCTTCAGCCACCAGAGCGCTGAGAACGAAAAAAAGTGTCGATGCGCTCGATTTTTTGGATAGCATCGACGCTTTTTTCGTTGTCCGCTCAAACCTTAAACCAATTTAGGCAACTCTCTTGTTTTTCTGGGCTCAGAAACTTGTTCTGCCTGCTGTTCTCTCAGTTTTGCTTCAAATAACATGATTCTGGTGCACATTTTTATCAGTTTTTTGAGGAGAATTTAATGGTGTTATTTTCAGATAGCATCTAGTTATAATTACAGCGCTGTTTTAGCTTTTCTAAGAGCAGTAAATTATAACAGTCACTGCATCTCAGCAGCACCTACAGAGCTGAAGAAAATGCAGAGATATAATCAAAAATTATATATCTAATCTCATAGTATATGATAACATTATACAGTGTGCACTGTTAACTAGGAATGCACAGAGTCATTCTAGCTTGATTATTAAATTCTGTTTGCTATAAGTAGTTTCTCACTGTATTCTATAAAAGTGAGCCCTTCTGGACTTACAAAATCTCATCTACCTATTATTGGACATCCAAATAGCATCAGGAAAAATTCTAGTTTGTCCTTTGAGGCAAGTTATTTATCCTTCTAGCTTTGCTTCTCTTCCTGACCACAAATTCTCTTTATTATAAAGAGATTTAAATGAGTACAAATATGATGGCCTGCACACTAAAACATCTTATATACATGGTGAAACCAAAGCATGCAGAGGTAAAGAATATAGCATTAGAGTGAGCAATGATTTAGTGTTACTGTTAGATATTCTATAATATGTTTCAGAGAGTCTCTGTATGAGATATTGTAGGATATGTTTGGGAAAACCTCTATACTAGGTCTTCAAGTTATTTAGTATAACAATTGTGAGTAATACAACATGTCTGTGTTGAATGTGGGCAAGCTGGCACTCATCTCAGAGGTTGCCGGTGGAGTTTTCCATAGTAGATTTTGTATGCTCACGCTGATCGTCGTACGTTGAGAGAGAATTTTATCATCACTGCTGCGCTGCCTGTTGCTGCTTGTGTAATATGTTATAAGCCCAGAAGAGAGTTTTATCATCGCTGCTGCGCCATCTGCTGCTTGTGCAATAGTCTGAGGTCAACTGCAACCATTAAAGCACCTGAACACTTGACCACTATCTGTTATCTAATCTAAGTGCTCCAGCCACGCATCTGTTGGCAGTGCTTTGTACAAGTCGCGTCGGTTTTCAATACAACTTTTTTGAATGTCCGCCTGTAGTTACATTGTAGTTGAGTAAGTAGCTGTGAGAAAATTTGTACATAGAGTCTAACCCTGTTGGAAAGTAGCGCCCAAATTTCTGGAGCTCCAGAAATTGGGGAGCGCCCAAGGGCAGACAAGCCGAGGGCATGATTACAAAGAAAGACAAAGAAGGAAATTTGCTTATATAAAGTGGAGCGTCTAGAACTGTATATATACAGAAATCTATTTTAGGACGCGTAATCACGCGCCCCGACGCATCTTGACCCGCCATCACTACCTTCCTATTTGGGAACTAAGGCGCGATTTCTAACAGGTTATGAGCCCCGGCTCTAGCCAATAAATACTTGGATAACAACAGCCCCTATTGTGGCTACAAAAATTGTTACCCCCTTACTAGTACGAGAACAAATAATGTCGACCAGCGCTGATAATACGAGCAATAGCAATGCTTACCGGATCCCGCTCCTGAAGGAAGACAATTGGCTCCCGTGGAAGTGCCGCGTCGAGGCCATCCTTAATGATAAGGGTCTCCAGGAGTATGTGACCGGAAAGACACCAAAGCCGCAGCCGAGTAATGACCCGGCCAATAGGGCAGCGAGAGAGGCGGAGATTAGCGCCTGGGGAGAGAAGGACCTCAAGGCCCAGAACGTAATTGTGCTATCGCTGGGAGATTCTCAGATGGTGCACATCGCTGGAGCCGAGATGGCACGGGCCATGTGGGAGCAGCTTCGCACAGTCAAGGAACAGCGTGGACAGCATGGAATTCTCGCGCTGTGCCGGCGTTTTTACCGGATGCAAGCCAAGGAAGAAGATAATATCTCCAGTCACATTACACAGCTACGACAGATCCAGGAACAACTCCACCTAATGGGGAAGGTTGTTTCTGACGAAGATTTCCGGCTCATTCTGGCTACCTCATTACCGGAGAGCTGGGACTCTTTCCTCAGCTCTTACTTTGGCGCCGTGGGCGGCAACGTTGGCGCCGAAGGTGCTGACAATGTGCGCCCTCAGCTTACATCACAAGAATTGATTGCCATCATTCTTGATGAAAATAGGCGAAGGCACGAGCGTGGCGAGCGCGGTCAATCCTCGGACCAAGCCATGGTTGCCAAAGGAAAGAAGCACCCCTTTGGGGAATACAAAAAATGTTCGATCTGCGGAAAGCCGGGACATCTTGGTAACAAGTGTCGGCACCGCGACAAGGTCAAATGTATGAATTGCGGAAAATTCGGGCATAAGGCCACGGATTGTTGGGCTAAAGGCGGCGGCAAAGCCGGACAGGGCCCGCCGATGAAACAGCAAAAGACGGAATGTGCTTACGAAGCGCGCGAGGTCGAATCGAAAGAGGATGAGGCAAAAATAGCCTACGATAATGATAGCGACACTGTATCTCTCGGATCTGATGGCAAAATCGCTTCTTTCTATGAGTGGTTTGCTGACTCCGGGACAACTTTGCACATTACAAATTGTCGTGAAGTCTTCGCGACCTATCAGGCGCTCGAAGATCACGCGATCACGGGCATCGGACCGCAACCAACGCAGGCATTGGGCCGCGGTATGGTCGATGTCGAAAGTGAAGTAGGAGACCGAAAAGTGAAATTCCGTCTCCACGGTGTACTGTATGCGCCGACAGCACCCAATAGCCTCCTCTCCATCACGTGTTTGGACGACGCGGGAGGAAGAGTACTTATGGGTAATAGTCGCGTAATACTAATAGATAAAAATAAACACACTCTTGCTATAGGCAAGAAAAATGGACGACTATATTCATTGAAATTGCGTCCAATAGTTCCGCAACCTGCGCGAACCTATACTGCTAAGGAATACAGCCCGCATACCTGGGAAGAGTGGCATAAGATCTATGGCCATATCGGGAAACCAGCGCTTATGCGATTATATCGCGAAGGACTTGTTGATGGCCTAGAAATCTCGCCAAGCCCAGACGAAATTAATTGCGAGGCATGCATCCAAGCAAAGGCGACGCGGAAGCCATTTCCCAAAGAGACGGACGAATGCAGCAAGGTACCCGGAGAATGAACACACACGGATGTGTGGGGACCTGCGCAGACAGCCGCTCTACAAGGGTGGAAATATTTTATTACATTTACCGATGATTACAGTCGTCGAAGTACAGTACTATTTATGAGGCATAAAGATGAAGTAACTGAAAAGGTAAAGAATTATATTACCTATATCGAGCGCAAGTTTGGAAATAAACCCTTGCGACTCAGGCTCGACAACGGTCGAGAATATATGAACACCGAATTAATTAACTGGTGTCAAATGAAAGGGATCGAGATGGGTCCGACTGCGCCGTACTCACCATCCCAGAACGGAGTCTCTGAGAGATTGAATCGCACACTGCTTGGACTAGCGCGCGCGATGATCTATGCGAGAGATCTACCTCGTTATCTTTGGGCTGAAGCGATTGCTCACGCAGTCTATATTAAAAATAGATCGCCTACCCAGGTGTTAAATGGGGCAACTCCCGAAGAAAAATGGAATGGGACGAAACCAAATATCTCGTACCTACAAGAATTCGATTCCCCCGTATGGGTCCTCACGGAAGACGCAACACTATCAAAGCTAGCGCCCCGTGCCAACAAGTATATTTTTGTTGGATACATGGACGGACCCAAAGCCATCAAATATTATGATGCGCACATGTGCCAGATTAAAATCTCGCGTAATTTCCAATTTTCTTCGAATTCCCCGGACCATTTGCCCGGCAACGCGCCTCACGTGCCACAAGAGCAAATAGGATCCGACGTACCTATCCTCACAGCACAGCGTGAGGGGGAGCAAAATATATTTCCGGGCACTTTACCTAGCAATGCGTCAGACGTGCCGCATGCGGAAAGGAGACCCGAAGTCCCAAACCTCACAACGACCGCAGACGTGCGGCGCGAGGGGGAGTTAGGAACTTCCGCGCCACAGTCACCTGCCAAAAATCCGCGGAAGCGCAGACAGGATCATGATCCTGATCAACGCAAGGAAAGTGGGACGGCCGCACCAAGCCAGCCCAGACGAACCAGAAGAAAGACAGTTCAGCATGATTACCGTCTAATGCATGACCCAGAGGCAGACGAAGATCTGGATAATGATTCAGATAAATCAAATGCCGAATTAGTCTATATTGCGATGAGCGTCCACAGAAATGCGGATGCGGACGAGCCAAAGACGCTCAGTGATGCCAAGAGATCACTCGAGTGGCCCAAATGGGAACAGGCAGTCCAGATGGAACTCAATCAACTACAGGGTATGGAGACTTGGGAGTTAGTGGAACCTCCCGAAGATCGAAAACCCGTAGGAAATAAATGGGTTCTAGTTAAGAAAACAAACAAAGAGGGTGAAATAATCAAATACAAAGCCCGCCTGGTTGCGAAGGGATATTCTCAAATCCCAGGCATGGACTATACCGAGACGTTTGCGCCCGTAGTCCGCCTCGAAACCATTCGAGCTATCCTCGGGCTAGCCGCAATCTTAGATTGGGAGATCGGACAGATGGACGTGAAAGGCGCCTATCTTAATGGAACTCTCAAAGAAGAAGTGTATATGCGGCAACCCGAAGGATACAGCGATGGAACATACCGCGTATGTAAATTAAAGAAAACCCTCTACGGGCTAAAGCAGTCTGGCCGAGAATGGAATATCGTGCTGAACCGCAAGTTATTAGACGCAGGATTCAAGCGCCTATTCTCGGATCCATGTGCGTACATTCGGATCAAAGGTGATAAGATAGAAATCGTCACCGTTTGGGTGGACGACCTATTAATATTCACCAATGATTGCGCACTGATGGACCAATTGAAGAGGGAACTCCGAAATATGTTCGAAGTTACCGACCTTGGCGAACCCCGAAAAATTGTGGGGATAGAAATTGAGAGAGACCGTTCAAAGCAGACAATCAAAATCTCTCAGACAAAATATATTGAGTCTATCCTACACAAGAATGGGCTTACGAACGCCAACACAGTCGGGATGCCTCTTGATCCAAATACAGTGCTTGAAAAAGAAGAACCCAAAACTGATGATGAATGCGACCGAGACAACGGATATGCATCGCTCGTCGGATCACTGATGTACGCAGCAATTGCCACGAGACCAGACATTGCTCACGCCGTGCAACGGCTTAGCTCATTTACTGCCAATCCCGGAATGGCTCATTGGACTGCTGCTAAATGCGTCCTCCGCTATCTATCCGGAACGCGAGAACTTGGAATAATCTACGGGCCAATTGCAGATGTCAAGCCTGAAGATCAATCCATATTTGTGGGCTACTCAGATGCAGACTATGCGAACGATATCCGAGATCGCAAATCAATCTCGGGATATTTATTTAAATTAGGAAATGGCACGATCATGTGGAGCTCAAAGAAGCAAACCACGGTCGCGTCATCCACCACGGAAGCCGAATACATGGCATCCGCTGAAGCGGCAAAAGAAGCCGTATGGCTCCGAACACTATTCAAAGAAATAGGTTTCGAGCAACAAGATCCTACAATTTTATTCGAGGATAATACAGCGGCGATCTCAATCGCACGTGATCCCCAATTTCACGCGAAATCAAAACATTTTGATGTAAAGCATCATTATGTGCGCGAAAAATTGAGGGATAAATATATTGATATCCACTACTGTCCCACGGAGGACATGATAGCGGATATCCTAACAAAGTCACTCCCTAAGCCGAGGCACGAGAAGCTCACAAAGAAGCTCGGAATGCCCATCGGCTTGAGGGGGAGTGTTGGAAAGTAGCGCCCAAATTTCTGGAGCTCCAGAAATTGGGGAGCGCCCAAGGGCAGACAAGCCGAGGGCATGATTACAAAGAAAGACAAAGAAGGAAATTTGCTTATATAAAGTGGAGCGTCTAGAACTGTATATATACAGAAATCTATTTTAGGACGCGTAATCACGCGCCCCGACGCATCTTGACCCGCCATCACTACCTTCCTATTTGGGAACTAAGGCGCGATTTCTAACAAACCCTAACCTTTGTGTCATTCCTACAAACTCAGCCCTAACCTTAGGTCACACATACAAAATTTGTAGTCAAAAACCATTCCCACGGTTTGGGCAAAATCGCGTTACGGTCTAAGCGCCCTCTAGGGCTCATCCTGTATAAGGACAATTCCTTCGTACCTCAGGAATCGTAACTTGTAACTAGACTATAAAGTCACACTTTTGGCATACTTAGTAGGCATTGTAGCAACTTGTAACTAGATTATGAAGTCACCCTTTTGGCACACGTAGTAGGCATTGTCACAATTTCTAACTAGTCTACAAGTCCGGGTTAATGACTTTGTTAGTAACTATTGTAGACCTGCCTTAAAGCATTACAAATCCGCACTTTCAGCTTACTTAGTAAGCATTGTGACTAGATTATAAAGTCACCCTTTTGACACACTTAGTAGGCATTGAAACAATTTCTAACTGCCCTACAACTCTGATTCTTATAAGCACATTTGTAACAGTTTCTAGTATTGTTTTTGTAGTGATTCTTACAAGTGCATTTGTAATAGTTTCTAGTCTTATTTTTTGTAGTGATTCTTATAAGCAAATTTGTAACAGTTTCTAGTCTCATTTTTGTAGCGATTCTTATAAACTCATTTGTCACAGTTTGTAGTCTGATTGTTTGTAGTGATTCTTATAGGCGCATTTGTAACAAATTCTAGTCTCTTTTTTTCTAGTGAGTCTTATAAGCGAGTTTGTAACAGTTTCTAGTCTCATTTTTTGTAGTGATTCTCAGAGGCACATTTTTAACAGTTTCTAGTCTCATTTTTGTAGTGCTTCTTATAAACTCATTTGTAACAATTTCTAGTGTTCTTACTAGAGATTACTAGACACTATTGCAGGTTACTGGAGATTCTTACAAGTGACATCAGCTGACATATACAGACTATTGTAAGCTCAATACAAACTGATATTAAGGAGTATATTAGGAGCCAGTATAATAGGCTATTGTTGACTTGCTAAAATCAACAATATACTAAGAGTTAGTAGACAACCTTGTAAACTATTGTAAGGCCCTTATCAACTCACAGGACTTAGTACAGTGTGACATTGTAGAACACTTACTACATATTATTAGACGGCATACTAGGAGTCAGTAGAGAATATAATTTCTTATATACATAGGCACATTTGTAACAGTTCTAGTGTCATTTTCTGTAGTGACTCTTATAAGCAAATTTGTAACAGTTTCTAGTGTCAATTTTTGTAGTGATGCTTACAGGCACATTTGTAACAGTTTCTAGTCTCATTTTTTGTAGTGATTCTTACAGACACATTTGTAATGGTTTCTAGTCTCATTTTTTGCAGTGATTCTTACAGACACATTTGTAATGGTTTCTAGTCTCATTTTTTGCAGTGATTCTTACAGACACATTTGTAATGGTTTCTAGTCTCATTTTTTGTAGTGATTCTTACAGGCACATTTGTAATGGTTTCTTGGGTCAATTTTTGTAGTAATTCTTATAGGTACATTTGTAACAGTTTCTAGTCTCATTTTTTGTAGTAGTTCTTATAAACACATTTGTGGCAGATTTCAGCCTCATTTTTTGTAGTGATTCTTATAGACACATTTGTAACAATTTCTAGTCTTAATTTTTGTAGTGATTCTTATAGGCATTTGTAACAGATTCCAGTCTCATTTTTTGTAGCAATACTTATAGACACATTTGTAACAATTTCTAGTGCTGATTTTTGTAGTGATTCTCATAGGCACATTTGTTCTTGAAGTCAAAGTAAGTGATCTCAAAAACTGTTACAACAAAAAAAAACTGAAAAACAAGTTGTATAGTTTTCATTAGTAGGTGAATTATAATATACATTTTAAATTGAACTTGAGCAACAGTGAGTCTTCTAAGGCTGATAAAAATTAGTAAAAACTGCCAAAAAATTGAAAGACTAAGAAAGTTATTACTAGTAGACATCTTCAGGCTCAAAAAAATGCCAATTAATCTGAAAATTTTGTGGAATAACAACTTTCATAGTTCTGACTATTATTGGTGAAAGTATGACACTTTCTAGTATTTAAAATGCACTTTAACTAAGTTTAAGATAAAACATGGTGTTTTAAGATTCAGAAACATGAAAAAAAAATAGGAAAATTTATCAGATGTGAAAGTTTATAGCTACTGTCACTAAACATAGTACAAAATGCTTTTTAAACTGAAAGTGTGTGCTTTAAGTCTCACCAAAATGACAGAATAATATACTTTACAACAAACAGATTATGTAATGTACTTCAAGCAGAAGTGAGAGTTTTCAGGCTTAGGAAAATTTGTAAAATAAGATGCATTTGCAAGGATGGCATGCACAGAGGGCAGACAATGACAGTAATGAGTTTGCCAGAGTGCTATTTGATTGTAAGAGTGCAATAGGTGCATGAAAGCACTATGCATATGTGAGAGTGGTTATATTGATAAGAGCAGCATGTGCTAGCAAGAGCAATGTGCATGGACAATAAGGGAGGTAGGCTGATGGAAATAATGCAATATTGTGCATATATAAGTTTGATCCTATTGTCCATCTCTCCCTACCTCTTCTGATCTTCTGAAAACTTCTTCTATAAAGGACATGTGTCTGTGAAGAGTGCATGTTTGTGACCACCTGTGTGTACTGGTACTGGTCTCTGCACAGGTTAGCCCTACCTATGCTCTACACTGGCTATTATAAGGGCAATGATAAACTAGGCTATTATAGGAGACTCAGTAGATACTATTAGGTGGTAACTCAAATTAGTGCAGTTTTAAAGACATCTTATTATAACATTTCAGGGATCGTTACTGCCATGTGAAGCAATGGCCCACTCCAAACTAGTGGGATATGTGTGTGTCACATGTGCTTATGTAAGCATGTGCCAGGAGGTCAAGACTTCAATTCTGGCTGGGTGCAGTTTATTTTGTACAATTGTAATTGTATACAATCTGCCCTTCTTTATTTACAATTATAATATCATTTACAATGTACAATCTGGTTACTAATGTGTACAATAATGTACACAATCTGGTCATAATGTGTATAGCTATGTACACAATCTGGTTACTTTGTGTACAATACAATACTGACCACTGCATGCACAATAAAGCTGGCACTTCATGGGGATATTGTATACATTGGGGCTGCCTACTAGTGTGTATGTCGCATGGGAACATCACATGGGAACATCAGACCAAGCAGGCTAAGCAATGAGTGAAAACCTATGACACCAAGAAGATGCTGGTTGATGACGCGTGGACAGGTGAGTCTTGACCACCATTTCAATATATTTGCTGATGCAGGATTTGTTTAATCAGACTTTCAATCCAAGAAAAAGAAGGGTCGCGCGTTGTACACGCTTTTGCAAAAACTGAAGCAGTCCAGAGATCATGCAGAGTTCTTGCAAGACGAGTTGGCAATGGCAGATGTCGAGACCCGCTTGAGCGAATTGGAGCAGATCTTGAGTGAAGCCGGCAAGGCACTCAGATCCGGAGGTGAGTTCTTTTGGCATGCATGATACTTTATGATATGACATGTCTCTATGCGCAGCCGAGCCCAAGTCCAGGAGGACAGGTCGATCACGCTGCCCTGTTATCAACTTGGTGACTCTGGAGGAGCTTGAAGCTGTCTATCGGGAATATGTCGAAGCCTTCATTGATGGCCCCATGAGGGTGGAAATGGATATATCTGCTGGGACAGAAATTGACACATTCCAGGAGGATCTGTCAGGTGAGATCAGCAATGACCTCAGCGTAATGATGGAGCTAGGCATGTCTTGTGAGGAGCTGATGAACCAAATGGGCTTGAAGGGGGAAGTCCTTCCTTTCATGTACAAGGTGAAGAATAAGCTTCCCTACTTGATCTGGACGGTGGGCAAATCCCCGCATGACGTTCATGCTAAGCTTCACGATATGGGAGAGCTGAGGAGACAACTGAGCGGGTCCTCAGAGTGGGAGGACCTTACCCTGTGATGGCGTCAGGCCGCTGGCATTCGCGCTGCGTTCCGCATGCTTCAGAATGGCAATGACGCAATCTTGATTACAGATGAGGTTGGCATTGGCAAGACAGCACAGGTGCTGGGCGTGATCTGCATGGTGGCCAATTCTGGCTTAGAGAACCGCCCCGTACCGACGTTTGCTAAGTGCATCCACTCTCTGCACGCATGTCACTCATCTGCCACAGGTGGGGGTCCACTAGAGTCCACCCCTCATATCATCATATCCACCACTACCTTGCAGCAGATTTGGCTGAGTGAGGCTCACATGTGGTGCACTGGCTTCGAGTTCTTCGAGTACACCGGTCGCTACAAAAAGTGACAAGATTTTTTTGGCGAAGGTAGCACATGGGTGAAGTCGAGTACACCCATGCACCGGCGCATTATATTTGTGACCTCACCTGTGAGCACTCTACACTGCTGCACTGTCGGACTGGGTCCGACACGCACAGCCACCCTCTCATGGTGTCCTGCCTGGTGACTCATCTTAGGAGGTTCTGAAAGAGGGCTCGAAGCTCATTGCGGAGCAAAGAAGAGGGAGATGTCCCCAATGATAGCCTGTGGGTGAGAGGATCAGTGCATGAAGGGAGCATCGGACTGGGGTCCGACAGTGCGGTGCTCGCAAGCACCATGCACACACTGCCAGGCCTTGTGCTGAATGAATTTGACTCTCTGGGCATCTTCATTGTCGACAAAGGTCATATGATGAGGACAGGGTGCAACATCTATGCTGCAGTCCAGCTTCTCTCCCGGCTTGCACACTTGAAGCTGGTGCTTACCGCCACTCTGATCTACACACACCCTCTGTTTCGATATCTGACCTATCACTGCTTCCTCAGGACCTGATCTACGTTGGGCATGCCATCGGTATTGCAGGGTGTCTAGGTGTGCACGTGGATGAATTCGAGAAGGAGCTCATTCACAACCTTGACCGCGCACGATGCTTAGAGGCCGCTGAATTGGGTCCACATGAGGTCGTAGCTTCTGATTTGGATGTAGCCACTGCATGCACTCATGAGGCACACATTGAAGGCATCAAGTGCATCAAAGAAATGTACGATGACTGTATTATTCGCCACATGCACGCCTCCAAGAATGAGCATGGAGAGTCCCTCCTTGGGCTGGCGGGTGACAGCGTATGTTGAGCTTGAGGCATGGAAATTCGAGATTCTCAATTCCTTGGAGAAGGATGATGAGGCTGAGAAGGCATCCAGTTTGTACTTTGACACTCGCGTAATGCCCCATCCTGTGTTCTTTAACCGACGACTATGACCAGCATTTTCCCGACATTTTATTTGCAGACTCACCAGGGCACCAGTCAACCTGCTCTTATTAGTTTTTGCGAGCAAGGCGGCAAACCTCCTCCATGTCTTTGGTCGTGCAAGCTGGTTCGGTCCCATGGCTCCACAAAGACCAAGGTTGCCGTGGACTTGGCTCTGCATCACATTCGCTATCCTAAGTCTCTAGTGGTGGAGTTTCCAGAGAATGGTGTGGGAATGATGCTACCCAGTAATTGTGGCAAGGAAGGAGAAGGCGGTTCTATGAAGATCGTGATCTTTACAGAATTTCCGAGTTTATCACACCGAGTTTATCACAGCTGTTGGAGGATGTGAGCATCCTTTTCTTCACTGGTCTAACCTAACGTTAAATCTGTCTCATGTTCTTTGCAGGCCCTCACTGCTTATGGGCTTCGGTGTATGCTCCTTGTGGGCACCATCACCATCTCCAAGTGTGAAAAGATAATTGCTGAGTTTGATACATGCCCTGAGCCCTGCGTCATGATCATGAGTTGGCAAGCTGTCTGCTGCACACATTATGATCTCGGAGGTTGGGGATTTTTCAATGTAGGCTGTCGCATGCTCATCTCCAAACAAGACAAGCGTCAAATCATGGGTTGAATCTGGTGATACCCGCAGGACAAGATATGTATTATTTATGATCTCGTTGCCATTAATACCACCGACGTCACCTTGAATTCCATCGCAAGAAAGAAGGAGGAGATGTTGCAGATTTTTGCCAGCCATGCCAAATATGCTGAGGGTGGGTTTGTTCTGCTGCTCAGTGGCTCACTGCTGATGCTCAATGCAGCACTCCTGGCACGACTTCACAGTGAGGATAGCCCGGACACCAAATATCAACCTGAGAAAGATATCGAAGGGAGATGCATCAGTGAAATGCATCACGTCTTCAACATCGACACCTGTGTTGCGCAAAGGTCAGACAGAAACCAGTTTTGAAGGTGAGCACAAGAGCAAGAGCAAGGTGGGCAAGCACCCAGATGACGTGATCGTGATCTTGTCATCAGACGATGATGCAATTAATCCGCCCTGCCCTGTCACAAGCAAACTTCTCGAGCAAACTGATGGAGAAATTGCAGTAATAACAACACCAGCAACTGCATCCTCCTCTCAGCCCATATTCCTGGTCCTCCGGTCAGCGGAGATGCTGCTGGTCGGACCGAGTCTGATGCGCAGTGCCCAACCGGTGACAAGGGAGCGCTGCCACCAGTGGTATCACAGGACTGCCCACGTGATGAGCAGGAGATGCCATGTCGGACCAAGTCCAATGGCCTCCATGGCACCATCCTCAGTAGGCTGGAGGCAATGGTGGTCTTTAAGGCTGAGGACTGGCCAAATCATCTCCACCCTGTTCAGCTTGGCAAGTGGTTTCCCATGCGGTTCCAGGCAGGAACAAGTTACATTGAGACACTCGAAGGTGCGAAATACTATGACTGGGACCACATACCCGAGTTCGATGCGACCAAGTTTGGCCCATTTGATTGTGTTGCTGTGGCGCATCCACAAGATCCATGCTGTGGTGAAATCATGGTGATGCGGGTCCATGGCTGGCTGAACCCCCCCCCCCCCCACTGGCTTCGTGAGTGGAACACCTTTGCAATGCCTTCTGATATTATCATATGCTCGACCGACCCTGCATCATGGCAGACCATTCACCCAACTCAAGTTGGCCTTTGGTACCCCCAGCCTTCCTTGGTCGAAGCTCCGGAAGGGACTACTGACAAGCAGTTCAATCCTGCGACCCAGTACAGCGACATGTCTTGGCCACATTTCGACGCCAACAGGTTTGGCTCATATGATCGATTGCTCCGACAGGATGCTCGAGACCCACAGATAATGCTGATTGATGCCCTCTTCAAAGCCAGCTTTTCTAGCATTCCTCCATGGCTACACACAGATCATCCCACACGGAGCAAGGCAGTGCTTCCCCATTTTGTGCAATATGAACTGCTGCCGATGCTTGTGGACCCAACCCCACCCAGGAACCTCCCAAGCTCTGGCCATCGCACAGGGCATGAAAGTGAGCCAACAGGACCGGCATCAATGGCAGATCGTCTCAGGACTCCAAGTCCTCGCACTCTTGTAGTCTCCGCAATTCCACCTCACCCGTGCATCGGACTGGGTCCGACATCGCCACCACCTCGCCTGCATCACCGGCTGCTCATGCTCAGACATTCGGCTTCCTCAGTCCCACCCACCTCACCCACGCGTCGGACTGGGTGTGACATAGCCATGACATCACCTCTTCCTCAGACATTCGGTCTGCACGGTCCCACCTCACCCACATGTCGGACCAAGTCTGACATACCCACAGCCTCTCAGCTGTCATCCTCATTGGTGGAACTATCAGTGAAAGCCACTTCGCGAATGACCTCCTGAACTTCTGGTTCTGACTGGCCCGATTCGGCAAACGAGGGAGATGTTGCTGAGGACATAATTATGATGAATCAGTCTGTGAGCGGGCCACCATCATCGTTAGGTAAGTGTTTCCCTGCGGCCCTTATGCTCAACCACACCCCCAGCTTCTCTTCTCGAGCCGCTGAGCCATGAAATGGATACAGATGGCATGCCTGAGGCTTCACAACAGGAACTCCATGATGAAGATGATGATGACATGATGTACACTCTGCCCCGGTTGCCTTCACCTCTACCCTTCATGCAATCTCCACCACGGCTGATGTATTCTCTGCCTCCTCTGATGCATTGCCCTCTGACCGGCCCTGCAGATTACACCATGAAGATTGCATGATATGGCGACATGCAGTCAGATGAATTTCAAATTCTTGTAATTGCATCATCGCCGATCGAAGCCTTCAAGAGCCACGTCGCATCTGCCACATCATCACCTTCTCTCTTCCATTCATTCCCACTGTGGAAACCTTTGTCCCCTTCTCTCCTTCAGTATGGAGCATGTCTGACCCCAGCCTAAGGTGAAGTGTGCCGAAGTCCTTGGTGATGAAACAACCACTGGAGAACTCTTCGATGTCGCAATCACACCAGAGGAGCACAGAGCTGCAGAGACGTTTCAAGATTGCATTTTGGGCGAGTTCATGGAATTTGTCGTGCAAGGGTATGAGTCTGTGGCTCCTGTGCAGTCTACAGTCATCAATGTGCTCCATGACCATGTCTTCCCCCGTGATTCATGGTGATATGAGGTTGTCCGAGACTATGATTCATTGATAGGCTGGTCATTTGACCTGCCATACCGTACCACTTTTGAGGTGTATTCAGAAGCAAGACACCTTGCAGAGCTCTGTTCACATCTATTACTCCCACACCATATGACAAGCAAATGGCACTGAGCATGTATGAATGCATTTTCATATCCTCTACACCAAGCCTTAACCTAACCTAACGTCATCCTAGACATACCATCCGGGCATGCATCAAATTCCCAACATCTGTCTTGGATGCACGAGCTTGCGTTCACAGGTCAATCTGATATTCCCAGCCCTCCTTAACCTTGAGAGACACTCCCAAAGCCTTCTGTTGACACAGCTCCATCAGCAGTGCCTTTTTACGATAACTGCATTCAGCTGACAGTGCTGATGACTATCCCCGGAGAGGCTGGCCATTGGCCTCCCTCCTACCAGTCGGAGATGAGCCAAATTCATGGAATGCTGCACTTTGGTAGACAGCAGATCAGCTCGAGTGATCTGCAGTCTTTTTGCATACCACTTACTGAAGTACGTGGGGGAGTTTCCATGGGGTGAAGGAGCATTTTTCTTCCATCAGAGCCGCCCTTCATCCCATTGTAAACTCCGAGCAGGCCGTCATACCTCCATTCTCCACATGACCGAACTTGTGGTGGACCACTGGTGGATTGACATTGGCATGGAGATTCAAGGCAATCAGCAGGTTATGTGGTGGTGTTCCGACGCCCCCTGGCAGATCTTACAGAGGGTCTTGGAGTTGGACAATGAGACTGTGGAGCATTACACCAAGACCTCCACCTTTTACCACGATCTCACTGCGCAGCTCACTGATGTGGGCAATTTTCGCTACGAACCATCTCAATCCGTACAGCAACGCACCAAAGTGTTCTATATCCAGGCATATAATATGGAGAAGTCGCCAATGTATTTCCTGAATGGCGGCAATACCCACTCGAAGTAGTTGAGCTACAGGGATGCTCTGTTGAAACCTGATCGGGTGGACAAGTTTCTGACTGATGTCAGCTCCATCTTCAATGATGCCAGTACCCACACACCAGGGCATGCCAGGGTGTTCCTCTGCATCGTGCATCCGACCAGGTACTGCCTTTCACTCGAGGTGACCTGTCTCAGTTTGTGGTGATGTTCAATGCGAAAATGTGGTGGTAAGCATCAGTTCATCTCCATATCAGAGATCGTGCACGATGTTTGGACTCCATCCGACCCTCTGTGGGCATGAGTTTCATGCTCAAGGTGCCCTCGCATAGAACTTGTATTGCTGTGATTGATGGTCGGACCCGGTCCGACCGCCTGTGTGATCAGGACTTTGGTTATGTCCATACTACACATGCAGAGACACGGCAGAGTGTCGCATCGGACCCAGTCTGACACCACCACCTCTCGATGTGTTGTCTTCCTCCCAGGTACGTGCACATTGCTGACCGACCATCTCATCGCAGGAAGTTCAAGACTCTCCAACTGAAAGCTATGGCTCAGTGCCTGAAGTGGTGATCATCTGGCTCACCCCTTTCTAAGGGATTGCCTCCTCTCTGGATTATTATATGAGGCTTTCTGTTGAACTCTCTTACTATCTGAGACTGATCGCGAGATGGACAAGAAACCACACAGGAGTTCTGCCCTATACTTTCCTTTCAAGCTTCTCATGATCCGCGGACTCATGGTTCATCCAAATGTGATTTCACTGCCTTGTCTCTGGGCTGGCATGGCATTCGACGAGACTGTCCTGGGAAGGCTTGCTGGCTGATCCTATGAGGACCTCCATGTCAAGTACACCAACCCTTTCAATGTTGTCAAGCCTCACCCACACTGAGTACAGAATAAAGCCCCGGTAACAAGAATGGTCACCCCCATTCGCCCGAAGGAAGTGACATTCCATCTTGAACAACAAGGTTTTTGTGCACCCATGGGCATATATGACAAGGGCCCTGACTTGGACATATTTGAAGTAATGCCTCGTGCGAAGACTGAGGAGACATTGGACATCAAGCTAACCCGAATCTGGAAGCAATTTCTAGCAAATTTGCTGATGAAGTCCCCGAACCCGAAACCACCCAGCTAACCCGAATCTGGAAGCAATTTCTAGCAAATTTGCTGATGAAGTCCCCGAACCCGAAACCACCCAGTATCGCCTCGACGAATGCACGCAATGCCACAACTGCCAATGCATACAACAACATCAATCTGAGTGTAGTGTGGAGGACAGTTGCATATCGCGCCGCTGATGGAAGGGAATGAGAGAGCAATTTCAACAGGCTCTTAGGTACAAAAGGCCTATATTCAAGGTTATCCCACATGCACATATTATCGCGAGTGGGGATTCATCCTGTCCTCCTTGTCTGTTCAAGGAATTATCGCAGCAAGGCATGGGCTATGTGATGATCTAGTGCAGAGCAAGGGTATGGATAACCCTCAAGGGTAAGGGGTAAGGGTATTGGAGGGTAAGGGTAGGGGTATGAACTTTCAGACCCTTGTACCCCTGGAGGGTATTACTGCATATAGTATATATAATGTAAGCAGTAGCTGTATGGTGAATAAAGCCTAAGTACAGTCTAGAGACAGCCTTAAACTATGTTTACAGAAGCTCCAAAGGGAAAAGAAGACTGTTACAAGCCTTAAACTGAATGTTTATATTGTTATTCCCTCAAATAAGGCAGATATTGAGGGGTATACCCTCAGGGTTTGGTACCCTTACCCATACCCTTACCCCTGATGAAGGGTATGTACCCTTGGAGGGTAGGGGTAGGGGTACAGCTCAAAGTACCCAGGGGTATACCCCTGCTCTGCATTAACATGATCTGTATGATCAGCTTGGTTGGATGCCTCAAATATGCTGTGATCGCATTTGGGAGACCAAGAAGTCTGCCGAATTTACCGTTGTTCTGGCAGATGCTTCTGGGCCTGCCCCCCAGATCCTGATCAACCCTCAGAAGGGCCACTTGGACTGGCATTGGGAAGCACCTCAGTAAGGTCATCATATTGTCTATACCATTGAACAGTCTCTGTCACTATTAGAAATGTCACTATTAGAAATGTCACCCCAGCTCAATGCTATATGGGATTACCCAGGGCAAAGGCAGGGCAAAGGCTGGTCCAATGGCACAATTATCATATGGGATGTCCTATAGTACTAGGGCATTGATATTTATATCTCAGTATTACTGGTTGTCCCATGGTGCCAGAGGTACATAGGGATGTCCCACTATTAGTAAAACATGTATTTTCAGGCTATTATATTTGTAGTTTTTTATACTTTATTCCACTATCATATTATCTAAGCGTTAATCATAAAAACAGTGACTATAGTGATATAAACAAGCACTTTATTTGCATATTATATAAGGTGGGATCTCTCATTTTAAGGACATCTTAAGATGTGATTTTAAATACAGTATATGATAGGAGACATGACAAGAATATATCTCCTTTGCTAGTATATAAGTAGACTGAGTTGTTCTATTTCTGGAGACTCTTAGTAAAAGTTGTAGTATAGCTATGAGACATACTATATGCCAAAGATTATATCATGTTAGTCTGAATATTATGTCAGAAAATGTAAAATTGATTTTAAAACACGAGAATAAACATTGTTGTTTGACCTGTCTTAGTTGTTATATGAGCTAATGAAGTTGTTGTACATGCTACCAATAGTAATATAGTCTTTATAACATTACAAATGCATACATAATACTTAATATGAGATATCTTGCTTTCTATAAATATTTCACTGTATATAAAGTGCAAATAAGGCACTTATTTACAGTATTCTAGTCACTTTTTTTATAATCAGAACTTATACAATATGATTGTAGAACAAAGTATTAAAAAACTACCATACAATAGCCTGAAAATACATCTTTTACTAATAGTGGGACATCCCTATGTACCTCTGGCACCATGGGACAACCAGTAATACTGAGATATAAATATCAATGCCCTAGTACTATAGGACATCCCATATGATAATTGTGCCATTGGACCAGCCTTTGCCCTGCCTTTGCCCTGGGTAATCCCATATAATGCCCTGGGACATGTATTGGTACCATGGTCTGTCTGACACCTGAGAGGCTCTTAGCCACTACACAATATAGATTATGTTGAAGGTAAGAGCTAGGTCGAAAGGGTACCCTGAAGTGCCTTGTTCATTGTGAAAAGATCTGATATATGTTCATTTAGCATCTGTTTATATTAGGAGTATAATAGGCTATTGTTGACTTGCTGAATATTACTCAACAATATACTAAGAGTCGGTAGGCAACCTTGTAAACTATTGTAAGGCCCTTATCAACTCACATGACTTAGTACAGCGTGACATTGTAGAACACTTACTACATATTATTAGATGGCATACTAGGAGTCAGTAGAGAATATAATTTCTTATAAACATAGGCACATTTGTAACAGTTCTAGTCTCATTTTCTGTAGTGATTCTTACAGGCACATTTGTAACAGTTTCTTGGGTCATTTTTTGTAGTGATTCTTATAAGCAAATTTGTAACAGATTCCAGTGTCATTTTTTGTAGTGCCTCTTATAAGTACATTTTTGTAGTGATTCTTATAAATACATTTGTAACAATTTCTAATGTTAATTTTTGTAGTGATTCTTATAGGCATTTGTAACAGACTCCAGTCTCATTTTTTGTACTGATTCTTATAAGCACATTTTTTGTAGCAATTCTTATAGACACATTTGCAACAAGTTCTAGTGTCAATTTTTGTAGTGATTCTTATGGGCACGTTTGTTCTTGACATCAGAGTAAGTGATCTCAAAACTGTTACAACAAAAAAAACCTAAAAAACAAGTTGTATAGTTTTCATTAGTAGGTGAATTATAATATACATTTTAAATTGAACCTGAGCAATAGTGAATCTTCTAAGACTGATCAAAATTGTAAAAACTGCGAAGAAATTGAGAGACTAAGAAACTTTCTAGTCATTATCAGTAGACATCTTCAGGCTCAAAAAAATGCCAATTAATCTGAAAATTTTGTGGAATAACAACTTTCATAGTTCTGACTATTATTGGTGAAAGTATGACACTTTCTAGTATTTAAGATGCACTTTAACTAAATTTAAGATAACACATAGTGTTTTCATTTTCTCTGTTTTCTCTCACTTCTGCTTGTTTCTTCCAGGAAAAACAAATGTGCACTGCTTGTAATGAATAAGGCGTCCTATATAGGATGTTTAAGTGCATTATAGGGTGATTCCATAATTTAACTGGCATTTTTACGATTTGTCTACACTTTAGGCTGAGCCTTCCAATCCAAAACTGAGGTATCTTAGCCAGTTTTACTCAGATTTACTCAGTTTAAGAGAGTATTCTGCACTATCTTATGCATATATTTTAATTATGCATATATTTTAATTATGCATATATTTTAATAATACTCAGGTTTACATCTTATAATTACTATGTACTTCCCTCACTTCACTAATTACGATGCACCAGCCTACTGTGGCTGCTGTATCACTTTTTTTGAGCTCTATTTGTGCAAATCACATTGTTTTTCACTACAGCCACTTTGAAACACTGACTCCAGTCACCATGTAGTTCATTAACACCAGGGAGTACAAAATTTGTAGTCTGACCCCAGCTAGACCTAACCCAGAGTGCTGAATTCAAAAATTCTGCCTGTTTCACAGCCTCAGCTTCTTGCTATGAAACCACTATCATCAACTTTGGCCTTTGCCTTGAGCACACTCTGATATGTTATCTCTTCTTTGGCTGATTGCCATTGCTGTCTACATATGTTCAGCTTGCTATTTACAGCATCGGTTGATATGTGCTATGTAATGGCAGGGTACTGGCGTCCACCCTCATGAAAAGAGATGTGCAATGTAATGGCAGGGTACTAGCATCCACCCTCACAGAAAGAGACGTGCCATGGAATGACAAGATATTAGCATCATCCCTCACAAAAATCAGAGACAGATTGCATGGCA